GTGTTCGAGGAGCAAAAACATCTGTATTGTTGAATGAGACCCTCATTGTCATTTAACTGAATAGAATTTTTAGCTTAGTATGTCATTCCTATTGAGTTTTTTTGACATAGGGTCACGGGACATGATTTTTCAAAGACTATTATATTTAATATATTTACCTAGGTGTAGAATGGGACTGTAAACTCGTAACACGTKTTCTAACAATTCAATGAACTGCGCAGAGAGATGAAATTGTATTTTAAGTTGAATCAAGACTAAAATTTAAAAACCTTTATAAAAATCCCATGATTTTTTTATGCATTGTACCATAATATATTTACATGGGTCCATGGACCTTGGGTATTTTTGGTAAATTTATTTACTTTTTATGTTGTAAGTAATCTATTATATTTGTGGCTGCATAGTTAAGTTGTATTACTAGATAACTATAAAAAAGGTCTAATCTTATTTGTACCCTGGTGTTTGTAGGTACCTAAGTTATATTCGACTCAGGTTTTATTTGTGTTATATCTTAGTTGCGAATAATTCGTGTACTTATACTATTTTAAGAAAATACGTCTTTCATACTTATCAATAATATTATGGTTATTTTTTCCTTTTAATAATAGCGACACTTATAGAAACTAWATTAATAGCTGTGAGGCTTTTCGTTCAAAGTTCAAAAGTATATGTTCTATTATACAGTGCACAGCTTAATATTTTTTTGTTCATCGATGTTTTGAATAATATACAATAAGATGTCTATGTAACACTTAGGTAATAAAACTAAGTAGTTGATACTTGTTTAAATAATCGTAAAACAAACATATACCTATTAGATGAAGAAATATTACTTAGAAATACTATAGCAGAATTAAAAGAAAACAATTTTAATAATATACTAATAATTACAATCTATAAAAAAAAAATTTCATATAATGGTTTTTATTAGTGTAATATGCCACAATATGGTTAGGTTAGAATAATATATGGTATGATCAGAAAAAATACCACATACCTACTAATAATTATATTTGATTTTTTTATTCCAATCAGTTAACATATTTAACAAAACACAAAATAATATACATGAATATATTTTTGTTATCAAGYKGACGTTTGTGATGATGGCAAATAATTATAAAATGTACAATTATAAGTTAATATTTAACTTTAAAAAAGATTTTTGTTGTTCAAAACATTAAGAAAAAAAAATGTAAATGAAAATAAAACAATTTTTTTAAACAATTTATGGTAATAATACTCAAAAGACAGTTATGGTTCTGAGTAAAGATGGAAACGAAAATTAAGTTTAGTTTATTGAATAATATAGAACTATAAAACTCTGATAATTTATGTCAAAAATAGTACCTTTTGAATCCCAAAAAATTGAGGATCCAAACTTGGGAGATATATTTACCGCTGGACACAATTATAGTGGTCACTCATACTTAATTTGGTTGTATTTATTCAGATTTATTTTATTATAATTTATTTACAAAAACTAAAATACTATTAAAGCCTATATGTACTTTAAATTATATTAATGTAATTTATTTTCTCTATGTATTCTATTATTGAAAAATGATAATTTAGTTATATAATATACTAAACTGGTATACCTATATAGTAGCTATAGCTTAATGCATTACGTAACAATCTGCGTCTTAGAGTAAACCTTTAATAAGTACCACTGGTATAATCTGATATTACCTATATATTAGAACGTGAGGCAAATATTTAAAAACTGATTAACAGCTTATTTTTTCAGACGCACTAAAATAAAGTACCTATTTAATAACCGGGATTATTTCATATTTTTTGGGGGATAGGTATTTAGTTTATTGTTCTGTGCTTGAAACATACTTGTGCATTGTGACCATCACAAATTTTTAAGTTGGATATAAAATCCAAATATATAGATAGAATTCATCATAAAATATTATTCCAAGTGATCTATACAAGTAATGCAATTATTTATTTTGTTCAATATTAATACATTTTTAAATTACGTTTTAAAATTTTAATTAGGTTCATCATGTAACGGTTTTTATATAAAGATAGGGCCATTATAAATTATATTTGTCTTGAAATAATATCAATAATACTAACATTTATAATTTTTTTTTTTAATGACTAGTTTTCTAATAAAGTCATATTTAATAGGATCCACTACAATCATTATAGTTAATGTTTCCGGTGACTACTGATAAGTTTTTATTTCTAATTAAAACCATATTTTACACGATAATATCGATGAACTCTTATCTTATGATTATTGATATGAACACATTTTCTTATAATCAATCATTAGATTGAAAATTGAAATTTATAAAAAAATGTTTAGCATAAATAAATTTTATAAGTGAATTGTTATTGTGAATTATGGTGGCTGTTAATCCGTACGGGAACGATAGCAGTCTATACAAACTAATACCTAAATTGTATTGAAGAATCCTCTTTGTTATTTGTACGTTTTTTGTATGTAATCATTATGTGGCRTTTATTTGACAGCTACGAAAATTTTTTCTTCAWGTGTGTGCACCTTACGTCTTTGTACAACGAGAAACGCATCGTGTCTTGAYGAAAATCAGCATAATATATTATCTTGCTTGAATTAGAGTATAGTTTCACTATGAAATCAAATTAAGAAGAATTCAAATTTTTAATATTTAAGTGTATTTAATACAAATAAAATTGGTTAGGTACAAAACATGTTTATAAAATATATAATATCTATTATGTTTTCTTATATTATAATTTTAACTTATATTATAAGCACATATAAAAAAAGGCAATAAAAAACTTTTGAAAATCCTCTAGATTTGTTCCTACGTGTAAAATATTTATGTTTTCTAAAAATATTATGAACCTAACCGAATGAAAACTATTTTGTGGGTTTTTTGTTACTGTGCAAGTGTGTTTATTGGTATTCTATGTAATATATAAAATCATACAATCAAATATTACTGTAAACCTTGTTTGATTTAACTATTTGAATTTAAATAACTATATAGCTGTAAAATATTTACTATTATTACATACCTAGTAGTATAGTGTACACTGTAGGTAATAATTAATAGATATAAAGTTATGTTTGAATAGAGAATATTTATTATGAAAATGAAATATGTTTCAAAAGCCATTTATAATGAAAAAAAAATGACAAAATATAGTTGCCAACTGGAATAACAACGTAAATAATAAAATATTTTTTTTCGGATCTAAATACGAAATACAGTGACACATTTTAGAAACAGTTTCTAGGTAGTAGTGTAGTACAAACAACATGAGTTTTTTTTTTATCGCAATTTATCGCTTTTTCAAATGGCGTTTTTGAAATGTTTTTCATTATCAATGACATTTTATATTTTACAATTTCGGCCTCAACCCCCGCTGAGTCACAGCTACAAATCGAACATAAAAGGTTTGTTCAAAAGGTATAATATTACTTTTTTTAGATTAATCTCTCGAATGTGCACGGATATAATGTATAAAAATGCCAACGAAACTGCAGCAACAGTTGCATTATAGTTTGTTAAATTATTGTGCGTATTACCACCGCTGTCTCTTGAACCTGTAAAATGCTAATAAAACTCGGCGATAAATGTCTTCAGTCCGATCCCCGCGCGACACTCACCCAATGACTACGCGCCTATCCCCTCTATTGAACAGCTGAATTCGTCAACAGCCTAATTTTCAGCGTGGTCCGATCCCCGCACTCCCCATCATGGTATAACTGGGGTCCCCGCACACACCCTCCACGACATCTATATATACATGCCTCGGCTGTCTGTCGGCTCCCATCGTTGTATTGGTATATCGTATACACTCGGGTAGTATGACCGGCCTACGTTATATTATTATGATACACAGCTAGTGTTTTATTGCGCATCAGTCAAATAAGTCTGTTTTGATCGTATTCAGGGAACTTCCGGAAAATCGTTATCGAAATAAAATAGTTTTTTCTCTTACTATTTACTTCAAATTTTAAATAAATAGTGTCTGCATTTTTTGTTGTATTAATTCAAGTTATATGTCTCCGTAATTTCGACGTCTTATAAACCAATTTACGTTGTCTCGATTGTTATCACTGCACATATTACTTACTTTCGATTCCTGCATAACTGACGGATAGGCTACCACCGATCATCATTATTACCCGTTACACAAATGTCATCAAGAAAATCTATTTCACAATCATCAACATTGCAAGGTTCAGAAATACTACGCATTTCCCGACGCACATTAACAGCACGCGATTCTTTAAATACGTCTCCAACGCCATCACGTGTTTTGCCTTTGAATAAGTCTCTGAATATTTCATCGTCACGTGTTTCGGTATGTGCGCAGTCTCATATAACAACAACACCTGTTAAACCACTTAAATTACATGTAAATGTGTCTTTATTCCAAACTCACTCTCTTTTTTTTTCGTCTTACACACTTGAAAAACCGACAACTTCACATCCCATTTTCAAACTTTAAGATTATTTCATGCCTCAGTATAATATATTAACTAATGAAATTAATTTACCTGCTAATGTAGGCAGTTACAACGTGATCGTTTTTGATAAATTTAGCAATTTTTTGTTTCAGCGTTCCAAGGACAGTGACAGTAACAATACACCACTGAGTAGCTCTAGTCACAGTGAGCGCAGTCTATCATCGTCACACTCGCCATCACCGGATTYACAACACCAGTTTTCTCTGACCATAAACAATTCTACCAACAACCAAAATTTCCAACATCAATCCAGGAAAAGGAGTAAAATTTCCATTGGCAATAGATCAGTGATTCCGTCCCCTATTGATACGCTTAGTAAAAGTAACAACTTAAACGCTGTTCACCAAAATCTCAACGAAAATTCAGGTGTCAAAAAAAACAATCACTATACATCTAGTTCGACTGAGGATAAAAACCAGCTCTGTTCATCACATACTGAATACTCGTCGAGCTTGTGTGCGAAGGAACCAGTCATACTTGCCACAAGAAAAGCTCATATAGAGAATAACGTTGATAATCTTATTAATGATCTGCATGCTTCATTTAATATAACTCGTATGGTCATTAATAATCATAGAAGTTTCATTGAATCGAAACTTAAGCAAATGAATGAACAGTGTGAAAAATTGAACATCAGCTTGAACGATTCTAAATAAAATTTAAGCCTATCACCATAATTTATCACCATTACTTATCAACAAACCACTTCAATCACCAAAGCGAACCAAATCAACTACCAGACATTTGTCACCGGAATATCTAGCCACGGAGACATCAAAATGGATAATCCGGCAGCAGTATTGTCGGATGACGTGGTTGACTGGAGTTCACAGGCTCCATCGACGGGCAGCAATCAGCCCCAAACACAGCTTCGGTTAAGCGGTGGTTCCGACGGCATCTACAGTACCAATATCTCAAATAATTCTCAACAGACACAATCACCAACACCCCATCAGAAACAACAATTTCAACAGCCGACACCACAACAACACTATAAGCGCAATGCGTCAACTTATTCAATAGACATTCCAGCAACCCTTGGATTGATGGTGACGAATGGCAACCCCGCTGCCAACGAAAGATCAACTACATCGTCTACGTGAGTACATATTTMATATTTTTTGAGTGTAATATTATTATTGCTGCACATTAGCATACAATATTGTAAGTATTATCACAATGTTTAGTAGGTATACGTGATTGCAGCTAAGTTTTGAACTTGGTGTAAAATAATAACAATTTCTGATTGATAAGCATTTGGCGTAGAATAAACGTGCTTTATATATAATTTCATATATAATGCATAATATATAATATTTATAAATTAATTGTATAGGTACTTTTAACAGTATTTACACGATTACATAAATATAATTGGCAACTGTATGATAAATCAGTAAATAGGTACAATTTATAAGGTTAAAAAATGTATTATTAACCAAATAATTGGAATAAGCTAAATGTTTGCCCTTGGAAAAATTATGCTACTGGATTTCTTAAGAAACTTTAATTTGTATTAAAAATGTGAGTAAAATTAGATTCCAACTCAAGCGGGTTATCGATAATATTTTCAACTGATCGATATCATCGTTCAGAAATTTTGATAATGGTAACTCTAGTCACGTATTCACAATATTCATACATTACAATAGGTTGGGTTGCAGCGTGTGTTTTTCACTTGCCACAGCAATTGTATTATCATTATTATATTATATGATCACGAAAACGTATGTTCCACGTGCATTTAATATAATATTGCAGTGTACCATGTGTATACATTTTTTTTGTTGATCGCTCGATGTCACCAAGGCCACATTCAGTTACCTATACAAGTTCCGTCCCCATTACGTTGTTTGTCTGGCGAAAACAATTCCGGGATTACAATCGGTAGTGCGGAGGGTGGTTCAAGGGATTTGACCCTCTGCAACTACCACTAYGCTGCCTCTACATGACTCTTGGTGCGTCCACGCTGTTTAATAAGTACCACGCCATGTAGTGTTAGTTTAATTTTACGACTGCTATTGAAAGCGTTTTTCTTTTTTTCAACTACCCCCCTCCACAGTTTTTTTTTGGGGATCAATACCTGTGTGGTGTATCAGGTATAGTATGATACCGATTAAAGATAATATAGAGAGTATAATGGTATATTATTAGTACATGCGTTGCAAATAACGTATGCCTATATAAGGCAGTTTGCAGGTATTTCAAGTACAAGTACCGAAAAACTCATCCCTCGCAAGTCCTAATACCAATACATCATCGTGTACAAATTTAAATAATGGGTGATTAAAACTGCTATGAACACGTCCGAAATAATATGTGTAACATAAATTGACACCGGCCGCGAAGTAGATGGAGCTCGCGCGATTCGTCAATCAATCGGCCAAAGCRACGGACTGCATGCAGTGCACTGCATTTACGTGCATTCCTATTACTCGAAAAATGCACATAATAATATAGTAATATGTACAAGCACACGCGCACATTGGTCGCGTAGTGTATAATCTTCGACATTTCTTTGAGCCGCGAAATCATCACGTGAATCACTCGGACAATACAACGACGACATTAATCGCAAATGAATTATCTAGCGTACTTTCTAATAGGTATAGAATATTATATTATAATAATTATTATTATCTCGTCTCGCTGTACCTACGTACGTAATTATAACATTGTATTATTCACTTACAGTCATGCTATCATCGTATCTCTCTCTCTCCGTTCGCGTTACACTGCTGCAACTGATAATGATATATATATATATATATATACGTATATATACGAATGAGATAGTGTTAATTTATTATGTAACTTGCACCAGTTTAAGAGGACTAGAGAAGTGCGCGTTATAATCTCGTAAACACATAATAATATGTAGGTATATGGTATATTATACTGTATATGTTGTGCACAATAATAATATTATTACCGCCATTTATACCATTATTGGTACCTTATAATTCACGGGCTATGTGTGTATTTTATGGATAAATACAATTATATATATATACATATAAGTACCTATACGCGTTCCCGACGTCACAGCGATTTTGATTATAATAATTATCCGTTCTAGATTCCACGGGAGAACTGCGGAAACATAATGTTACATAGGTATTATGTTTCTCGCGGAGACATGTGACATTCTTTCGCACTCTTGTGTGCGTTTTTCACACAATTTGAACTAATGCTTTGCATTTATGCCCACGTATTATATATTACCTATATATACCTATACCTAACTAGTAACTATGTTATTGTATATGGTTACAAAACTATTATGTGCGTTCCTACGCTAACGTACTCGTACTTATGTTGTGACGCTTGTAGAGAATAGTTTCGTATAATATGGTTCGTTCGTTCTCCTCTTGCATCAGCTCGACGTTGTCTTGATTCGGCTTTGAGCGTACCTACATTCGTGCTTCGGTTATTTCATCATATCATACGATGTCCGTGGTCAGATTACGTATAACACCTATGTACACGATTTCCGGAAAACCGTGGCGTTTTCTCGCGATATTTTCTCGGTATCGTGCAGGCGAGACATATTCTAACACCTTGCAGATACATCTATACATCTACTGCAGGAAATGTTTGCGGATTTTTTTTTATACACATAGTAAACACCGATAATCGTATGCGACATGACACRTAGGTATATACCTACATATTATCACATGATGGGAGGTTAGGTATACCCGTAGCCCGTAGGTACTTGCGGTTATAATTACCATCGACGTGCAGTACCTGTCATTATATTATACATTATAATATATACAATTATATACATTTGTTTAATATATATTATTAGCGCGTAAGATTAGGTATACGTATACGACAACGGATTTGCAGATGATGTGATGTATGCACATGCCGCGTGAGGGCGTACGTGATGAAATATAATAATAATAATAATAGTAATAAATAATAATAATAATAATATTACATTATTGTAATCGAATTGGGTTTTTTTTCACGTTCTCCGGGGCCACATCCATCTCTCTCGGTACGACGCCAACCATCGTCCAAACTACCATCGTCTTTGTGCGCCGTGCGGTCATTCATTGTTCGGCTGCCGTTCATTGTGCTTGCACGTACTGAATAAAAACGGCGTGTTCTGTCTCCGTGTGTGCCAATGCGTATCGTCGCGTTGTATCGTCGTCACCGTTGCAAACAACAACAAAACCGACTACACCGATAACGACCACACCACCACTGACAACAACAACAACAACAACAACAACAGTATGAAGCTGACTGAGTACTCGAGTAGCGGAAGCAGCAGCAGCAGCAACGGCGGAAGCGTCAGCGACGGGACCGCGACCGCYACATCGTACATCATATCCGGTGGCAAGGGCGAAAAGGCCGATGGCAACGGGATGGTCGGCGGACGACGCCGCAAAGGCGGCAAGAAGCAGCCGCGTTACGATCCGTTCCAGATGCGAGACAAGTCTAAGGCGACCACGTACGTATAATAAATAATTTAAGAAAACATTCGCTACGACATCGGGTATAATATTATAACTGGACTATTGTGGTACTAACGGTACCGCGGTAACAAGATGATTTAATATTGTGTTATTCTACACAAACGAATTGCATGAACAATCGCTAAACATTTGTTGAATAAATAATGAGTTATAATGTTCTCTTAAACATAATTTAGTGGCCTATGATTAGTACATTATATTTTATTGAACCATTMAATAAATTGATTTTCCGTGTAAGTGGTTGATAGGAAAKGCCACGCGCAGGTTCTATGTAGTTTTGCAAGCTAAGCAGTGTTATTATAATTTGATGCTCTTGTACGCCATGTATGTATATTATATATTATATAATAAGCATTTATGGCATAATATATAGCATGAACGGCTGCAGCGGTGGCCCGCAAAGGCCTCGCAGATCTTTTGAGATGAGCAATACCTGTGTAATTTTGAATATGTCTCCACACTCACTAAATTTTCATTTTTCCTCGTAATCAATATTTAATACTTATTAAGTTTGTTTGTTTTTTCATATTTTCCTGACCATCGGGGTTATATAATATACAACAATGCGTTATACAGTGACAGCGGCGCCTTATTGCATCTAATCAAGAGCAGCCTCGGCAGTGGCATCCTCGCCATGCCAAACGCGTTTAAAAACGGTGGGCTCATCTTCGGACTTATCGGCACGGCAGCCATCGGAACGCTTTGTACACATTGCATATACCTTCTGGTAAGTCTTACGACAAAACAATTTTGTCAGGTTATTATTATGTATTTTTTTTATAAAACACGTTGTCTCGACTTCTGTTTAACTGAATTTTTATATAAATGCTTCCACAGTATATATTATAGATATTGGTAGTACCTATATTACAGATATATAACTATATAAGTATACATCTTAGTCATCCAAGTCATAATTAATCCAAATAGCCATAGCTTAACAATTATAATCAATATAAATTAAACGAGTTGTTAAATGATGTGCTTTCTTCACAATTGTGTTTCTAATGCATTTTGTTCTATCACTTGTTAATTTAGTTAATAGCTATATAATATTATACTAAATTGATATTTGAGAACGTGGCAATTAAAAAAAAGAAAATGTTAAATTATTTATTAAAGAAACTAAATCAATGTTAAAAATAAACTAGAAAAGTCCTAGTCACTAGGTTTTGATTTTCGAGCGTACTTCATCACCGACAGGGTCACTATTTAATTTGTTCAATAAACGATGTAACCGAGTTTGAAGTAATATTATTGTGATTCCCACCTCAGTTGTGATACCAGGCGAAAAAATGTCACTATTTAATGAATGTGTTTTATTTGAATCCACTAGCTGTTAAACCATTACAAACAATACACAACTCTGAACAAAGGCGATGCGTCAACTTTTATTTCAAATGATATTTTATAATGCTTTACATGACTATCAATTATTATTAGAAAACTATTTTTCTGTTTTGTAATATAAGGTAAATTGAAAAAAATTTTAACGAAACCATACCATGCGTATTTTATTATTAAAATCATATTATACCTATTATAAATTATTATTCTTAAAARCCATAATCGAATATTATATACATACCAACTGAAGAACGGTAGAATAGATTAATAAAAAAAATGTTATTGCATATAAAAAATTATTATTTTAATCATGAACTATTTCCATTTTTTGTAGTTAATTTTCTTTTTATTCACAACAACGAACCACAAAATAACGTTTGTGATTTTGACGAAATTTACACAATATTTTAACTTTGAAAGCTTATAAAAAAATGGGTCTATTTATTTTTGATATTAATGCATTTTTATAAGAAAAATTTAGTAAGACTTTATTTGAATTACAATTTTGAACTTTTTGACTAGAAATAAAAYTTTGTATTTCATCAACATAAGCCGAAAAGGAACAACACAATATAATAGAAGTATTAATGTGCGTAGATACATCAAATAGAAATAAAAATGAATTTTGTGTAAAATGTTATATAGCTAACAYAAGATAGTAAATGACGATTCAAATATTTTACTGCGGAGATTGAGAGCGCATTCGTTTTCTTGCACGTTCGTTACGTTCCGCCAACAATGCAATTTTGTTGTTTTTGRTATTAGAGTAAATTTACCTAGAATCATATTTAAATTGAATTTAAAATCATAAAATCCGATGAAAAATTGTATTTAAATTTTAATATTTTATCTATACTTATGATGGCTAACATTTAGAAAAAAAACCGACGACATAAGGTACGGACAATATGTTACGATGAGTTTGACAATAGGTTAATTTTCTCTACTATAAAAATAAGACAATTACACTAACTCTAATGGAAGTGCGGAACATAAATGTATTATAATATTTTAAAACATATTGTGTTGAATACGTGAAAAGTAAATATATGCTATATTATATTATAATGTTCTGTTAAAATGTATGGAATATTATATATAATGGAAATAGAGATACTAGAGATAGGTAGATAAAAAATAAATAAATGAAATAGTCCGGAAATATTTTTTAAAAAGTTTTATAAAAAAATTTTTGACCTTGAGTCTGTTCATCCAATATATTTTAATGATAATGATATACCTATCTGGTAATTTTTTGCCGCTGTGTATTATAATTACAATTATCCGATAATATTATGTTATGTTCTGATACCCGCCATGTCCTATAATACCAGCTAAATAGGTACAATATATATTATAATATTATRTATGGTTCTTTTGTGGTTTATTTATATTATGATTGTTACGTTTACGTCTCGCAATCACATGCTTAACTAAACTAAACTAGTGTGAAGTAGATATTGAAGTGATATTGTTTTTCAGGTGCTATGTTCGCAAACGCTTGCCCGCCGTACTCGCCGCCCTGCCCTCGGCTTTGCCGACACCGCTGCAGCCGCGTTCAGCACTGGTCCTCGCCGTTTCCGTGCCTGGGCTACGTTCGCCAGGTATGCTATAATAATATTATGCTTATTCAATTTAATGGTTTCCGGCTTAATTATTTTATCATGATTATTATTAGACAGTTTATGTATTTTTTTTTGTGTGACCCTCGATTTCGGATTTACACTCGTATAATAGATAAACGCAGCATAATGGTTGTTTGTTTATATAATAATCCATCATTACAACTGTGGTGGCGGCCTACGAGATTGAAAACCAGTGATTTAATTTTATTCACCTCCCCACATGCTCTTGTTGGCGGGTGTGTGAAAAACGTTAAGTAGTATAGCTATATAGGTACATAGATATTTAAATGTTATAGCTACCTAGTGATCGATCGCTGTTGTAGTCACTTCACCGCAACGATATAATAATAATAATTATTACACTATATATGCAATGTTAGCAATAATAAGTATACTGTAGTATAGTCGATGATGTCTTGTAAATTGTAATATTGTAATATTCTTACAGATAAATTATTTTTATATAGAAGTATATTCATTTTTTTAGTCTTTTWAAAAAAAAGTATACATAGTTACCATTTTTTATTGAGACTTCGGGATTTTTTAAAACGTGGGTATAGGTAATATGCATAATGATTTACCAAACATGCTAACCTGCAGCATTTTTCTTCAATAACACTGTTATTCAAAATATGATTTTTCAAATTAGAAGGTATTGACTTGATGCCATATTTTAAAGTTCTTGAGATTTTTCGTGCTACTTTTAGGCTGTTATATGGAGAAAAACTTCTGTTCTTAAAATAGGAACCATCTTTTTATATACTGAAAATTATTTAACAGATAATTTTTCTGAATATCTTAAGAAATAAAAATGGTCTTTGAGTCAATCCCAAAATTTGTAAAATATGTAAATATAGATTTTCATAATATTTTCTTTGAGCTTTTTTCAAGTATGTGTGTACCTATTTAGAAACTTTGCTGTTGCCTGTTACTATATTATACTAATTTAAATAATATTGCTATTTTTCAGCAGATATAATTAAGTATCTATTGGTCTTAAAAATTATGTGTATAAAAATTAAAAATGAACTGAGTGTCGTAAATATTTAATTTGTTTCTGTTACTGTTTAGGTTTTTGATTTCATTTACTTTACCATATAGGCTTTTTGCGTTTAGATAAAAATATTAATCTATTCATCTTATTTATAATAAATATAAGTGAAATATTAAACGATAAATAAAAATATAGGGTAAAACAATTCAAAATTAACAATAGCGATCCTTACGCTAAAGACTTCCGGAACATAGCGTGTTGTCATAGTACCTATGTATTATAATTTATAGTACCTACATTTTCGTATTATTTTCTAGACATGTTCTGGATGTTTTTTGTGTGAAGTGTAAAGGTCGTTTTTAGTTTAGATGACAGAAGCTGATGAATGTATTTTCATTAATTATAATTCGAGTAGATGAAAATTTACTAAGAAAGATTTCAGTAATTAAAAATGTTATTATATATTTCACAGTGTGTGTTTAGTTGTTATTTTGGATAAACAACTTTGTGTGATATAGTAGATTAGAATCATGATTGTTTGAAATGACATAATATTATAGTAGGTACCTACTTAAACTCATATGACTTCAGACAACTGACAACAAACACTAAAACAATTAAATTTACTCTAGTAAGTTATGTTACACGCACTCTAGTTAACAATACAACATAAATTTGATCGAAATTTTCTCATCAAATTTGATCGTTGTCCTCCAGTCTTTATGAAAATACCAAAAACTTTGTTTATTATGTAAACAATAAACATACATAATTATTTCATATGTGTATATATATATATTCAAACTCTATATTACTAATGATACAATATTATGCAATATTCACAACATTTTRACTCTTTTTGGACTATAACTATAGATATAATTAAAAATGTATGTTATGTTTTTTCCCTATAAATTCCGTTACAATTTTAGAACATGAGACTACAAATAAATGTGAAGATCGCAAAGCCCTGCGTACAAAGATGATATAACATGCAAACACTTTTAAGATACAACAGTATTGCATGATGGTATACTGTAATATATTTTATGTTTGGTATAATATCACCATGAAATACACAATAGGTATTACGTGATAACTAACAAATTAAAATGTACAAACTGTTATTTATAAATTCTAAAACAAAACGTTTACAATACATATTATTTGTACCTATATTAATAACAAATTAATGCATTAATGCAATGTAGCAAAATAATATATCAATCTAAATATGCATTATTACTATATTTAATAAAATTTCATTATACGCAATTACAATGAACTAGGTAAATTTATGGAAAGTCTACCAACAATTGTTCACATTATTGTGGATGAAATTAATATTATATCCAATTAATTGTTAACTTATATTTATTCCTCGTRTCAAGTTTTAGTAGCTTTGTATACTTATAGCCATGCTTTTTAAAACCGATTTCGTTTCATATTGTTATGGTTCCTTTATAACAAATTATTTTAATTTTTGTGTGTTGAACGACTGAATTTTCAGTATAAAGAACATACAAATTCATAATTCAATGTTAATGAATATAACGGCACTTGATAAATAATTAATTTATGTTAAATACGTATATGTAAATGAATTATTTAGGTACATTAGCGATTGCCGTATTTGTAGTAGCAATTATATACTTCATTAAAATGTAGATATATCTAATTTAGTTTAAAGTATGTATAAAATAAAATAATACCTACCTTGAGAAAAGTCGTCAGTAGATGTTTTTTTTTTATTTGTATTTTTATAACTCTACAATTAGTTGCTTAATAGTTTTCTTCTCTAGATTTTTAATAGCTTTTATCAAAGATTATTTTTCTTACGAGTTCTAAGAGACTTTCAAGTCAATATTTGTATGATTATTGTTTTTTATATTATGTATAATAACATCAAAATGAATGCCTACATTTAAAATCTTCATTCTTATTTGGCTATTAAATTTAATGATTTTATATTGTTATCTGTCCGTTTATTTTTAAATTGGCACATTTTTAAAATTTAAAATTTTTGGAACATTAAATTACCTTTCTATAGCCTCCATTACAATTAAATAATGTATATCACAAGAGTATTAAACCTCTATGAATTAAAGACGTAAGATATTTTGTGAATACCTATCGGCTCTCCGTAGTTAATTTATACAACCTTACCAATATACATTAAAAAATTATAATATTTACATCGCTGTCAGTAGTGTATAAAGAAATAATTTTCGGGGTAGGCTATAATATAAAGTTTCTAACAATAATGATCTAGCACCCAGAGGCTACTATATATATTTAACAGTTAAAGCTGTAACTTCGGAAGGGGGTGCAACCCACTAGATCATCCTTCCCCCTATATACGCCACTGATCGCTGTATATATTATATAATATATCTAATGTTTGTATCGTTCAAAAAAAAAAAAAAATTATCAAAGAGAATAACTTCATAATAATTTGATTTTCGTTGAGTTAGATTATATTCGAATTACACTAAAAATGACTGAAGTATAATATTTAACCAAATATATTATACATTATATTATTTATTTATTTATATTATAAGAAAAAAATAAGTTAAAGCAAAGTTAAATTTTAAATTTCATAACAAAATAAAGGTATACTAATTCTGGTATATTCTATTAATTATTTATATGTAACGTATAAGTTTTTCAATATTTAAATAAATTATTAAAATATATTCAATAACTTTCTATTATTTATAAATTTATAATTATTACAATGTATATTATGTAGGTAAAAATTATAATAAATTATCAATAGAATATTATAGCGATTCTATTATTCTAATAGTTCCCATAATTAATTATAATCATATATTATAATACATTGGTATTTATGAATACGATACGTCGATACACCTACAACCTACTTAAATAAATAAATAAATAAATATACGAACTCTGAATATAAACACTATCATATGGATAAATAGATGTATTTATTTATTTATACTTATGAAAGAATCTACAAAGTTTATAATTATGATTAACAAGTTACTCTTAACACAAAAATTTATTTCAGGTTTTTTACATTTTAATCCATAACTAAAACTAGATATTTTAATTCATGCAAAATTCATAATATTCATAAATTTAATTTATTAAAATATTTTCCAGACGCTGAAATAATTTCAATAGGTACATTTTAATTTGTTAGTTAATATCAATTATTTAAATGATTAAGACTCAAACTGAATTGTATTTGGTGACCTTATAGGAGTTCTATTAAAAAGTCAATTAAAAAAATTATCATTTTAATTTATGAAAATGAAATAATTATTTTTTAAATCAATATCATGAATTTATTCAATGTCTCGCTCAGAATCTTTACAAATTAGTCATTTTAAATTATGTGTTTTTCTCATAGTTCTAGTTAATAGTTGGTACTTATAAATTACCCATATTTAGAAATTTCAACATTTGTAAAATCTCCAAATACCTCATCTTCATTAAGACGTTGTCATAAATACATTTTAAATTGAAAACCGTGGAAAAATCTGTAGAATATATATCACATTCATAATTCAAAAATTGATTATCTTAGTGGTTAAATAAATGTATATACTAGTAATATTTTGGTATTAAAATAACATAAAAAGGAGATTATAAAACATTTTGAATATTTTCAAGCTTAACACAAACAAAATTAAAAAATATGTTTTTCTCTAATTAATTGTTTTATCAGCTATCAACAGGTTTTACGTTTTAATATTAAATATTCTAGTATACTTATGAACTTTTAATGGGGTAATAAACTAATAGAGAAATAAGAATACGCAGGGTTATTATGATAATATGTCATTTTAATCACCTACAATTAAATCGCCTTGGATATAGAAGATATAGGACTATATGAGGATAAGCATCTAAATAAATTTTATAAGCAGTTTCAAAAAATGTGAGAACCATAAGTTTCCCACACATGACACATTAAACGTTTATGTATATAATAATATTAGTAGTATTTCAATTATTACAAATATTTAATTTAATTTAAAATGTTAAAAAAATAATACAATGCATTGGATATTATAAGGTATTATATTAATTTATTATTATAATATATTACGACGAACGTACATTAATATTTTAAATTGACTAAAAAAATATTTTTTTATCTCACTCAATTGAAAATATTATATTTTTCTTATTATTTTCTTTCATATGGATAATGTCATTGATTATAAATACTTGTAAAATCTGGTTATCATGAATTTGCAGTATACTCGTAGATAGTGATAAAATACAAACCACGATATGCACGTTTATCAATAGGTACCTACTATGCATTTTCATTACGTTAAACTACATTGAGTATTATTTCTAAATGTATTTAAATTTCTTAGTCAATGCTTATTGTAAGAAGTTAGTTCGATCTCATTAGTTTATCGTCCTCTCAAAATACGTGTCTGCAAGGATAACATAATAATAATATGTTATATGTAAATATGTAATTTAGTAGGTAATTGTAATGACATATTATGGATTGATTATTATGTTTACACATACTATTTGGTGATTACTGATAAATATTATTAATCTTTAAACATTATTACATTTATGATGATATATATATATATATAAATATATACATACATCACTCAATAACAAAATGTCATGACCTTTTATGAAGATATTCAAAAAATCATGAAGCATGGCCTTTTACGAACGATCAAATATAAGATTGCCTTCAATAACAACAGTATCAGTCACGT